GTGTCCCTATCCTCCTAGTGTACCCTGACAGTTTTGACAGTACAGTGAAATATCCCTTCTAATTTTTATACCAAGAAAGAAGACAAAAACAGCAAGCAGAAGTTGAATTTTATAGAACAGAGCTGGAATCTTAGACTGGTTTTTGCCTATTTAAAGAAGAGCAAGCAAATATCACTGTAACATTTTCCTTATAAAACAAACAGAGCAATCTCTTCGGGGACTCAAAAAGAACTTTCCAGCTGCACAGGACTGGGGGTAGAACTGAAGGTCAGTTGCTTTTTGGATGTCCCTTAAGTGGCAGTTGTCCTTTTAAAACATTTCCATCCAGACAAAAAAAAGAGGCTGCGAATCTCAGAGGATAAAGTACTGCTAGTGGCTGAATGGCACTCTGCCAGTAAAGAAGCAGACATGCTTCATTGGCAGACAAAGGCCACAACTTTATTTAGCAGAAGCCACCATAAATTGAACAGGCAGGTAGGCAGCAGGTGCCAAATCAAAGCCAGCTGTTTTCCCTTGGCACTCAGCAAGCCTCGAGGCTCGTTTGCAAGCTGCATTGAAGCAACAGGATACTTGGGCCCCAGTGCAGTTCCACATTGCCAAACAGAGGCCCCAGTCTGCCCACGGAACAGATCCAAATCCCAGGAAACAGCTATGCTTGGTCTATTCTAGATATCTAAGTTCAGAGCCAGCGCACAGATGCATGCCCTGGTTATGCAGTCAATTTGGCTGTGCTTTGCAGCTGTTACGCTTCCATAGCTGACAAACTGCAGGTGCTATTTTGGTGTCAGATAACACAGTAAGACTCTTGCCAGCAAAGCATCTTGCAGCAGAGAGTCTGGGTGTTGTTCCCTTTGCTGGAGTGGCTGCAGAAAGTCAATTGTGGGCTTTCCTAATATGGTTAGCAATTCACAGATTTCAAAATCACTCCTGCGAAAGTCCACGGTAATTGAGCAGGAAACCCTGGAAAATATCATCTGTAATAGGAAATGAACAGATTTTCCTATTCTCACTGGGATTTAGTAATGGATTTTTGGCTAATATAGTAAACCTGCAGTGCTTCCAGGAGAGAGAGATGATTTTATAGCAGTTGTGTGACATGTGGTTGCTCTGTGGTTTTCTACCACACATCCCTATATGTTCTGCTCTCTTAAAGAGTTGATCTACCATGCTTCAAAATCAATGGAGTATTGCTGTCGTTGACTTAAAGGAGTTAAATCATGCTATTAGAAAGGAAGATTTGGTACTTCACTTTCTTAGCTGTTTTGGAAAGAAAATAAAGGAGCTAAAAAGGAGTCTGATTAATTACTTCAGGAATACTGGGAAGGAAATTTAGAGATGAACTGACTGGAGATTTAAGTATTACAGATTACTGGAAAAAATACATAGTAATTGGGGCCATGATCCAGCAAACGTTTTAAGTACATGCTTAACTATAAGTGTGCCTGAAGTCTCAATTACTTCAATTGTTCCACCCCATGCTTAAAGTTAAGCACCTTCTTAAGTACTGTACTTAATTGGGGCATAATCATACTGTTTGTCAATAGTTCGCTTCAAAGTTATCTTACTGACCAAAGCACCCATGTTCCAAACTGGAGAATGAAAAATTATGAACTATAAAGGAAAGGAATTAGGATAGAAGAATCTCATCTCCATATGATTTGCAAAAACAAGCTCATTTTAACTACACTAAGGTAGAAAGAGACTTCAGTTTCCCTGGTGTATAACATTTACCATTAAGTGCTCCAAATCCTACAAAATCTTTTACTACCATGATTCACTATTAAAACAAAAGGAAGACTATTTGAATAATAAAAAAGAAAGCTAGTGTACTATAATGGATGGATAGGCATAACACACTGTAAAGTTCTCATCAAAAAGAAAACTCTTAAATCTAGTTGGCCACACGGTTGACAACTGTCATTTACTCTATTATCTGAGCATGACAGCAAAAAAAAAAGGGAATCTGAATGGTTCATTAATTTGAATCAGGTCCTGTGACCACATGAACATTCATTAGCTTTGACTTTTCTGCTGCTTCTAGAACAAGGTTCAGGAGTAGTATGGTCCACTTTGCAAGACAATTTGTGGGAATGTCAGGTAGCTTTATACTTACCATGCTGTGGAGGACACTGCATAACGGCTATTCCTTTTGTATTGGACTTCCTGATCCTTTTTTGGTTTGTCAGTCAGAAGTAGCGATATACATATTCATCTGATTATGCCTCAATTAAATCATTGTATTTTCTTACATACTTCTCGCAGCGTTTTCCCCCAAACCAGTGACTGAATATTTGAATGCGCATTATATGCAAGGAAATATGGCAACGGTAGTTTCTCCTAAAGCTAAAGTAATGTCTGCACCTGCCCCATGGGTAGGTTACCTCCCTAGCTGCTGCTACTCAGTTACTTACTACAAGAACAAGTCTTTTTTTTCCCTCATTGTGGTTTTCAAAAACAAGGTGCGCCTCTTATTCTGGGGCACAATAGACATGAGAAAATAGGGTAGTTCTAACTGAGCAAATTAAATATTGCCTCTCAGAAGCAATGAAGCATGAGAATTTCTTCTGTCCTTTATATCATTATTCAGTCTGAATTCTATTTAATAACTGTTTGAGTAAAACAACCCAAGCATAAAATAGAGGGTTTTGTCCTATACAGGAAAAGAAGGAT